CGCAGCGCCGAAGGCTCGTTCGCCTCCGCAGCATTCAGCAACAGTCGCATAATCTCCACATTGCCCTTCACCGTTGCCTGTGCCCCAACGACCTAGTGAGTACCAGCAAGCGCTTGCCTCTCGGGATCACAGGGAGACGTACTACATGAAGCGGGGTGCCGCGCCACTTGAACGAAAACTTGAGCAGGTCGGGTTCTGTTTGCAGCGTATGCTTGACCATCTCCACATCTTCGATCTCGACTGCATAGTGCAGCCGGGTGTGAAGCGAATTGAGCGCGTTCGTAATAAATTCTGCCGTAGGGGGCGGCTCATCCCTAGACCACAGGTGATCGGCCGCGTGGGTGTAGAACAGGGCGGGATTGGCCACGTTGTCCACCGAGAAGCTCGACCAGCCGTCTGCGAGCGCCGCTCCTGTGCCTTGCTCCATCTTCGCGTATTAATTTTTCTTGGCAACAAAACTTGGCTTTCTTTTCGATTTTATTTGTATTTATTTCTCTTTGTTTTGCTTTGGCCCAAGATTCGTCAGTACAACTCAACACGCACACTAGCAAGATGCGAGCCGCGTTGGTAAAGCGAAGCACCTCCCGCCTGCACCCCCTGACCAGGTACCTCCCACTTTCCTCCTCCTCCTCCTCATCGACGGCACCCAATTTGATTATTTTGTCGGCTGTGGCTCGCGTGGTCGCAGGGGGCCTTGCGCGAGCTCGCTGCGCTGGTTCGGGACAGCAAAGAAGGAGACTGCAAAGGCCACGGCCGCGCACGCTTCAACGCCGCTGGAAGCGTCGAACCTGCCAGACCCGCGAGCGTTCGCGCAGGAGAAGGCCTTCTGGGCCACGCAGGAACCGCTTAAGCAGAAGCGCCTCCAGGCCAAGGAGAAGGGCGAGGCATGTCTTCCTTTCTCCCATCACTGCCCAATCCTCTCGGTACACACAATGATGACGCTGATGCCTATGCTGTGTCCAGCCGCACTTTGTGTTCCTTGAGGGTTCGGGTGGTGCTGGCAAGAAGGATCTCCTGTGGCGCTTGAACAAGATGGGCCACGAAGTCGTCTTCCATCCCTACCTCACCTTCCTTCTTGACGTACGTCGCTTACTCCTCACGTTCGCGAATGGGACCTGTTTCGTGTTTTTACAGCGCGTGCATTGCATCCCAATGCAGAGCCAGTACCCCTACACGCCCACGCGGGACCACGACATACTGCAGGTGCGGTGGGGCAACAAGATCATCAATGCCTTGGAGAACATCGCCTCGCTGTCCAAGGTAACGAACGCATCAGTGCCGCGCGCCACCGATGATGATCATTCGCTTCTTACGCGTTCCTTCCTCTCTGCTCTGCTCTGCTCTGCTTCGCTCTGCTTCAGACCGGCAAGGCGTACAAGAGCAACCTGGTGTTCGTGCATCGAAGTCCCATTTCATCCTACCACTATGCCCGCGATAGGAATCCTGACGAGGCCGCGCTCTACCTCTCCCTCATGCGCCAGATCACAACAGTACACACACCTCCCTTGTCGGCTGGTTGGTTGGTTAACGGTGGTTGATCTAGGAGTTGAGCTCAAGTCCTCTCTTCGCACTGCAGGCGTTCTCTTCATCAGTGGTGTTATGTAAGGCCGACCCCCTGCGAGTCCAGGAGCGTCTGGGCGAGCGTCTCATGGTACCTCCCGAGAAGGAGAAGGCCCTGCGGCGGGAGTTGGGCGAGTCGACCGACCTGGACGTCATCCAGCGCGAGATCGACGCCTACGAGCGACTGCTTCTGACCCCACCTTCTACTGAGCGAGAGCACCACGGCATCGGCGCCACGGTGGTGCACACGACGTCGTCCAAGCAGGCCACCGCCCAGATCCTCAAGACCTACGGCGTAGAGATGAACTGGGTGTGGGAGGACCTCAAGAAGACCTCCTCCCCTCCAGCCCACTAAAGCTGGCCAACAGGAAGACAAGCCTTCTTGCCGTGCCTTACGCGGCTCTCGGCGAGATGCATTTCTTTTTCTTTTCTTTTCGTACAAAGACGAAGCGAAGGCAGCAGCTTTTGTTTGGTCATCTTTCGTACCTGCGACGTCCCTGGCCTCTGCTTGTCCAATCCGCCCCTCCTCGCCGGCAAGAACGGTTGCGATACCAAACCAGCTCATCTGGCAGTGGGTAATCTAGATATCCTGCATCCCTCATTTTATCATCACAATTTGTGTTAATTTTTCGTGATTAAGATTTATTTGGTGTAGATGCTGATGTGCGAATCCCCTCTCGTTCTTTGCCATCAGAAATCGGAACAAATTTGGGTAGATCGGGAGTTTCCGATGGAGCTATCAATGAAGAACGAAGAGGTGCCCACTGCGGCTGACGGCACAACCGAGAACAAGGTCCTTGACAAGCAGCAAGATGACGAAGAGGCGAAGATGAAGAAGATGACCGATGCCGTGCGCACGTTGATCGAGTGCGTGGGCGAGGACCCTTCCCGCGAGGGCCTCGTCAAGACGCCGCTGCGCATGGCCAAGGCCCTCCAGTTCTTCACCAAGGGCTACCACGAGAACCTCGAGACCATCGTGGGCGGCGCCGTGTTCGAGGAGAATCACGAGGACATGGTCATCGTGCGCGACATCGACCTCTTCTCGCTGTGCGAGCACCACATGATCCCCTTCTACGGCAAGGTGCACATCGGCTACATCCCCAACAAGAAGGTGCTCGGCCTCAGCAAGCTCGCACGCGTCTCGGAGATGTTCTCGCGGCGCCTCCAGATCCAGGAGCGGCTCACCCAGCAGATCGGCAACGCCATCATGGACGTCCTCCAGCCCCAGGGCGTCGGTGTCGTCGTCGAGGCCACGTACGTCTTTGGCGTGTGGTGTGTGTCGATTCGCCCGCATTCCTGCTCACCACACACACGACACACACCACACACACGTGCAGACACATGTGCATGTGCATGCGAGGAGCACAGAAGCCGGGGTCGAGCACTATCACCAGCTGTATGGTCGGCGTGTTTCGGTACCGCTTGCCCACCACACTTACCGTACGCGCATCCCAATGCTAACTCTCCACAACGGCAACAACAACAACAACGACAGGGACGACGTCAAGACGCGACAAGAGTTCCTACAGCTCATCCACTCCAAAAAGCTCTTCTCTTAGCCTCGTCCCCTTGAAACGCTCTCCTCTCTCCACCACATCTCCGCCCCCCACGTAAATAAATGCAATGATCCACACGTGCGTTGCTGCATCTCCTGAGCCGGGCGGCTCGGCTGCGTGTTGGGCGTCTCAGTAGAAAGACTCCATGAGGTCCTCCCTCGTGTGCCAGTCACCGCCGTAGTGCAGATACGGGTACAAGCTGTAGGGGTGATACCTACGACGAACACGACAGGCACGCATAGCAAAGTCAGTGCTCAGAGCTATGCGCTTACATTGCTCGGTGGGTGCGCGCGCCCCTCAATGTTGGCGTGGTACCATGTGTCGTTGAACACGGTGGTCTCCACACCACGGCGCTGGAATCGCTCGAGGTATTTCTGATGTGTCTTCGCAGGGACTTCCAGCCATCCTACGCATGGCCAGAAACGCATCAATGAGCGAACGTGCATTACACGACGTGTAACTCGAGTTGGTGTTGGCGGGTCGGTACCGGTGGTGTCAAAGAGGGTGAGGTGTGGGAAGGACTTGAGCACAAACGGCAAGGCGTCCGCGGTGACACGCTGCGCACACGCGCGACCGCCCGTTAGCGAGGGAGCCCAGAGAAAAAATCAGGGAGGGAGCAAAGAGAGCGGGCACCTTGTAGCCACCGAGGTCGAGGCGGACGAGGTGTTGGCCCATCGGACGCAGTAGCGCCAGCGACCGGTTGGAGAATCGATGAAGCGAGTTTCTGAGCGTCAATTCCTTCAGATCTAAGGTTTGATGGGCAAACACACGCACGCAACACGGCGTGGTGCTGTCAACAGCGGTGCGTTGAACGTTGAAAAGAAGGAAGTGATCAGAGGCGGTACTGGGGAAGAGCTCAGGGAAGCGCGCGATCGCCTTGTCTGTGAGACCGTAGGGTCCCCTCAGCGTCAGCTTCTCCAACGAACCGCACGGACCTGCATCAAGGCCGCAAACCTCCTTTCAGTGCCGCCAAGGGGATGCATACCGGGGATCGGGCGTACCGGGTACGGCGAGGAAGGCGTCGTCATGGTTGGCCATCATGTACGACGAGCCGGCGACCGTGAGCGACCGCAGTTGCGAGCAGTTGTGTAGAACGGCGGCCACCAGCCCGCTCGGTGTTTCGCGCTGGATGCTCTGGCCGTGGCGTGCGGACAGATGCTGGACGAGATCGAGCCAATGTATTGGACAGAAAGTTGAGTGCACACGGGCATGGGCATGAGCGTGGGCGGAAAGGTGGCGCAAGAGATACCGCAGGACCCAGGGTGACGTGGCGCAGTGTGTCCTTGTTGTTGAGCACCAGACGCAAGGCTTCTTTGGTGTCCACAGGCTTGCCGATCACCAGCGTTTCGAGCTCTCGAATCTCCCGCTACACTCGCCCCGCCCGCACAGAAGAGTCCTTGGGTGAGTTGCAATGGTCATCAACACGAGAGAGAAGGGATCACACGCAAGGACGGACCAATGGCGTCAGGTCATCGGTCAGCTCGTGATCCGACAGGTCGAGCTCGCGCAGGCACCCCCCGCGCGCTTTCACAAAGGCCTTGAGTGAGGCGCTGCACAACATCGGCACCTGCAGGGCGCCACCAGACCAGGGAGGGATCAGCGTTGCGGCCTTGTCCACGGTGCTACCGCAGGTCCGTAAAATGGTAACGGCCGCACCTTGACTGACACCAGGCTGGAGCAGTGCGCCAACAAAGCAGCGAGCGCATCGTTCGACGCGGGGACCTAGCAATAAACCACCAAAAAAGTGAAGTTCTGCTCCACTGCATGTGCCGTGGCACCATTGTGAATCGAACTGAACGTACCGCAAACTGGAGCTCGCTCAGTGCTCGCCGCTGTTGTTTCCAGGCGAGATCGAGATCACTAAAACCGAAGATCTCGACGGAGCGGACGATTGAAAACTCAAACCGCTACACGCCCACCCCCCGACGGTAGTCAAGCAAAGACCCCGAGTGGTGAGCGCACGGAGCAAGAGGGAAAAGGAGCCAACAGGTGTCAGGTGGCGCCACGAACCTGCAGGCGCGAGCCGGAGTGCTGGCGCGAGGGCGTGGAAGACTTCGTCCCAGCTGACGCCGATCGTCTCCGTCGGCGCTGGTTCAAAAGGCGCCGCCTTGAGTTCGTCCTTGCTCATGTTGGCGTAGCCAAAGGCGGCGAGCACGATCTTCACAGTTCTGCCCGGTCGGCTCTGTTGAATTGAGCAAACGCCGATGCGTCAATTCCGGCCCGGCCTCAATCAACACACCGGCGGCGAGAGGTACCATTTGGTGGGCGACGAGGGACGACAGCGGGCGCAAGGCGATCAGCGCGGCCAAGCCAGCGGCGGTGACCTGCGGGGACGCGGAGACGTTGAGCTCCTCCAACTGCTTGCTGGCCTCGCCGTGGGCCAAATCCTGCAGCCAACGTTAGTTGTCCGTGAAGAGAACAACAAAAACGAAGAACCAGAGCGAGAGAGAGGGGGAGAGAAACGTGCGATGAGACCCTGGTCGGTGATGCGCTTGAGCGAGGAGATGTCGAGCGATCGCAGAGCGTTGGCGTTTTGGCCGATGTGAAGCAGGGCCTTGTCGGTCAGCTTGAAGCACCCTAATCCCCCCCCCACACGCACACGCACACGCACACGCACACGCACACGCACACGCACACGCACACGCACACGCACACGCACACGCACACGCACACGCACACGCACACGCACACGCACACGCACATCCGGCCAGTCGTATGAGGGATTTCCAGGTTGCAGGACGTGAGGGCGGACCACGTACCGGACACCGAGAGGGAGGTGAGGTTGGGCATGCGCGAGATCGCGCGCAGGTGGACGTCCACCAGCGACTTGCAGTTCTCGATGCTGAGGCTTTCCAGTTGCCTGTCGCCCAAGCGGAGTAGTCGTAGGTGAGGGTCTCACAACTATGTTGGCGAGAGGCCCATGAAGTTCAGAGATTGACATACGTCATCACGGTGGCGATTTGGTGAACGCAGAGACTGGGGAGCCGCTTCACGGTCAGCTTCAACTCCTGGGTTGCCAGAAAGTGGTGCGAGTGAGTTGGTGGCCCACCAGTGTGCAGCACAGACCGCGTTGGCGAGGCTGATGGTGGCGGCCGCGTACGGTCATGGGCGACTGCAGAACGAAGCTGAGGGCCTGAGGCGAGAGCGAGTTGTCCCTCGCGAACCGCTGCAGGAGCGCATGCGCCAAGGCCTCCGGCAACATCACCTCCGACTGTTGGGGACGAGCGAGCAGAGTCAGCACAATAGTTGCACT